TAACTAAGTAATTTTACTTCGTCAAAAAGAAAAAAGAATAATTTATCTCCACATAATTTAAAAATAATAATCATATCATGGTGAAAAAATCATTTTCCTCCTATGCAGAGCTTAAACATTTTATGGTTTAAGAGCAATTTTGTAATTATTTTATTATAATGAATAGTATTTAGTATCTTAGCACACAATAATTTTCCTTTTAGCTTTAGTTTTTATTAATCATATGTTGGAAATGGTATGCACAATGAACCTTCATCAAATTGATAATCCAGTCATCCTCTCTTATACTCATCGTTTCCACCATATCATTGCTTTTATCCCTAGCTGACTAAATGGTGGATACACACACACACACACAGGGACTAGGTTATTTGGGTTAATTCTTTTTCTTCATCAAAATAACATCATTTTAGTAAAAAAAAAAAAAAAGTCAACGGGTTACGATTGAGTTTTTGATCGAGTCTTACAGGGTTCATCGAGTTATCGTGTCAATCTGTTAAGTCAACTAGGTCACACCAGGTTTTTCTTTTCCCTATTTTTTTTTCAACCTGGCTCAATTCTAGCCCCGGATCGACCCGCAAGTCCGGGTTTCAAAACTATGGTTTGATTGGATCCTAATTTTCAAATGTCTTTCTTCTATAAAGTTGGTTAAAAATCAAAAGAAATAGAAAAACATTCCATTTCAGATAAGCATTAAATTGTTTATGGAAGGGCATTTAGGTTAATAAAAATTTGAAATCATCACATCTTTTATTTCTTCACTCTATTAAATCCTAGACTAAACTGTGAGTTTTTTTATGTTTTTAGCATAGAGAAAAAAAATTGGTAAACACAATGGAGAAAATAATGGGGGATATTGTAAAGTTTCACAAATTATAGTTGCCTTCTACAACACGCAAGTCACATATTACACCTATGACTTTTATTTCTAAGTTTTCATCTACAACACGCAAGTTGCAAATACTATTTGTGAATTTATACAAAATTAATACCTAGAGCCCCTTTCTTTCCCTTTCTCCTTTTATTTCTCCTTTTTTCTCTCTCAACAAAGCCAATTGCCTCTTTATTCTCCCCATCATCTACCCTCCTCTCTCCCTAAAACAAAACACACACAAAACACCATGAGGTGTTTTATTACATCTATCTGATCATGTTTCCCGATTCTTCCACACAATCTAATGCATTATACACCTCAATATCCAAGACAAAATCGATTGATATGCAATATTGTTTTACATACAACATATTTCTAGTATTTCTAATGTTATTATGGATGATGACTACTAATTAATTTTTAATGTATATATATATTGATTCATTAATCAGTATAGAAGGCTTGAAAAACAATAGTGACTATCGGTGAAAACATCAATGGGATGGAGGTATTGTGGCCAACACTACACTTAATTTATGTCTTGGTGGATTTCAAGAAATTGGAGAGGTTGAGCATCTTAAAGTGGAATTAGTAAATGATAAGATTGCTTATCATAAGAGTATTAGGAATGTTGGTCCATCTATTGCTTATCATGGGAGTGTTGGGGATGTTGGTCCATATATGAGCACCTCAGATTCGTCCATGAGCATCATAGATCCATCTATAAACATCCCAATTATGTCCACAAGTTGGGATAATATTGGATGTTATAAACTTGTCTTTGAGTTAAACAAGTTAGGATGATGCCCCAAACCCGTCCACGAGTGCTCTAAGACTTTCCACAAGCTATGGTGATTATTAAATATAGTTACAAGTTATTATATATTTTTAGAATTATGAATAAATATATAGTTAGTTTAATTTTAATAAAACATTATGTTATGTTAATTTTCAGTTTTATTTTATTATTTATGATTAAAGATGTTATGTGTTACTTATGTAAATTGTGTTTTGATGCTAGAAAACTAGTTATTTGAATTGTGTGAATTTTATTTTTTATTTTTTTTTGCTAGGAGTTATGGCAGAAGAAATATCATAGGATATGTCTCTTAGTCAAGTTGCAGATAACATATGTGACTCAAGAATCATAACAAGAATTTACAACAAGCAAGTTATAGATAATGAATACGACTTAAGTGTCACAGATGTTATATGGGACTTGATCAAGTATGCTACTTCTCTAAATATTTTTTTGCACATGCTATTTTACAAACAAAAATTTAATTATGCTAAGTTCCAAAAAATAGTTGTTCATCACCCCGAATAGACAGGGAGATAAATAAAAGAATTAGAAATGAAAGCAATCAACTTAGTATTTAACCCATTGAAAGAGTTCACAAATAATAACATTTGCCTAGTATAGCGCTACCACAAACCAGATCATAAAGGTTAGCAATAACAACAACCTTTTTTTCTTGTTTTATTCTTTTTCAAAATTTAATTGGATTGATCACTCTGGTTAAAACAATGCATTTTATTTATGGGTTGTCTCAGATTTCACAAAAGTGGTATTTTGTACAACGATAGGATTCATAATGATGAGATTTATAGGTTTCATCATGAAACTCATATTTATGCATTTCAACAACATCATTGTTGGTTCTATTTGGGGTAAATAATTGATCTATCTAACTCTTTTCTTTGGTTTTTTATTTGATTTAGGATTTATATGGTTTGTTTGTAATATGTTACAAATGATTTATGGTGTATGTGGTTTTAGTCCATCTAGAAATTGAATTATTGTAAATATGTTATAAAATACATATGTTTTCTAGCCTTCTACTAAAAAATAAAATGAAGCAAGGTGTTATTAATTCCTACAATTATTTTAAGGTATAAGGAGATATATGTTTTAACTCCTTTTTCCTTTACATTTCATAAGGGTTTTTTTTTCTTGGGGGGTGGGGTGGGAATTTCATCTTGAATAATCATTTTCAGTGTAAACAACTTATGATATAAATATTATAAGTATGAATGTGTTGTGTTTACATAAACTTTTTTTTTATCAAATCTCTCAACTTGATCTTGTTCAAGACCTACCTTAAAATAATATCTTGAAACTTTATATGATGCGATTCAAGCAGTAATAAGAGATCTATTAAAGGTTTTAGTTTGTCCAGTGACAAAACTTAGGGCTAAAAGGTTTAAAGAGGTATTCAATGGATTTCTTTAAGACACTTATTCAAGATGGACTTCAAAAAGATACTAAATAATGAAAAACAAACCTTGATTAATTTAATTCATGTTCAAAAAAAGCTTGTTAGTAGACATTCAAAGATTGCAAAAAAAAAAATGGAATAAGAAGATTCTAATTTATCAATTTTGATATTTCGCTATTGTTTTGGTCATAATTAGAGCTACAAAAGGAATTGTGATGCATTTATAATTGTATTGAAATTATATATCCATTGCTTTCCAATGAAATATGGCATGCCTTCTAACTTATTAAACCGAGAGAGAACCATGCATTTGAATTTGGATTTTGATTCAGTCAGCAAATTACAAAAATAACTTTAATCGTATTTAAATTAACTAAGTTATTATTTTATGTATCTTTTAGTTATTATTTGGCCTTTTAGAAATATTAAGGCCTATATTCGATTGCGAATTTATTGAATTATTATTATTATTATTATTATTATTATTTGTTAGGCTTATTAAAATCCATTAAGGATATTTTATTAGACTTAGAATTCTTTCTAGTATAAATATTTGTTTGTAGAGACTTTTTAAGGGTAAAGTATTTTAAATTAAGAGATCAACATTCTTGATATCTTTTGTGTGGTTGAGTAATTCTTATATTAAATTTTTTATTAAACTTGCAAACTCTTTAAAGGATTGATAAATTTTATTGTGATTTTATATTACTCGTTCGTGTCTTTTTAAATAATAGAATTAATAACAATGCTTACAAAGTAAATTTACTAGATGAATATGGTGTTAATGCTAAATTCAATGTTTCAAATCTCTCTTTATTTTATGTAAATGATGATTTGATGACAAATCCTTTCAAGAAAAGAAGGAATAATGTGATCTAAAAAACATTAAAAAATCTGTTAGAGGTTCTAGTTGATTCAATGACAAGATTTAGAGTTAAGAAGTTTAAAGAGGTTTTCAATGGACTTTTTCAAGACACATGAGCTAAGTTGGACTTCAAAAAAATATTAAATAATAAAGAACAAACCTTAATTAATTTAATTCATGTTCAAAAAAGGCTTGTTGGTGGGCATTTAGACATTACAAAAAGATTGGATTAATAAGATTTCAATCTACTAGTTTTGATATTTTGCTAGTGTTTTGATCATAAGTTATTTGGTCATAATTGAAATTATAGAAGGAAGTTTATGGTGATTCTAGTTTTATTAGAAAGTAAACGTTCATAACTTTTTAGCAATATATAGAAAGTCTTCTAATTTATTAAGACAATAAAGAACTAAGCATTTAAAGTTAGGCTTTAATTATGTTAATAAATTATAAAAACAATTTTAATCTTATTTAAATTAGTTGAGCTATTATTTTATTTATTTTTTATTTATTATTAGGCTTTCTAGACTTTATATTTGTTGGATTATTATTATTTATTAAGCTTATCCATATATGTTAGGGATATTTTATTTGACTTAGGATTTTTTCTAATATAAATATTTTTTTGTAGACTTTTTAAGGGTGAATTATTTTTAATAAAGAGATCAACATTTTTAATATCTTTTTTGTTATTAACTTACAAACTTTTTGAATAATTAATTTATACTACTCATTTGTATCCCTTTATAGATATAAAGTGAAATGATCATATATGCAAAGTGAAAGGGTGATTTTTGGGGTTAGAGTGGTAACATTTTGTTAAAATTGCAGATTAAGCTGACAAAGATAGCATGGTTCCCGGCCTTGATTGCAAAATCCAGAGAAAGATGACAAGCAGTGAAAAGGAATTGTATTGGACTTTAATGTTGCTTTTTACATATAATCAAGCTAGCTAGCTAGTTTGACATCATTCACATTTCACAATGACTTCCTACCAGGCATAGTTTGTTTCAAGTGTTTTTAGTCTTCATTCTTGATATAATGATAGAAATGTAGCAGACAGGCAGATTTTCATAAATTCAGATTCCAAAGAAGGTAAACAAATGACTTCTGATAAAGCAACTATTAACACGTTGATAATAATGCACAAAGAACAAATTGTTGTAGTGGTACCCATCTGTTTGCAACAAGCATAAAGCAAAAGCAATTAAGAAAGAGCACCAACTTTCAAAATCAGCAGACTGGGCTGCTATCCGCAGCGTGATGCATTGGAGGCAAGCACTAGCTGTTGCTGAGCAACGATACCTTCCTTTCTTGCCTTTTTACGTTCACACTGCAGCCTGAAGCATTCTCTCTTCCTTGCCCGACAGCTCAGGCTGGATTTCTCGTGGGTACACACTAATCTGGCAACCATGCAACACCATTATGCATTTCAGTTTGGAATATCAACCACTCACACAAACTGTGAGGTTTAAGATATAGAATCCGCCTCCTTCCTGTCAAATTCCACCAATCCATCAATGAAAGAAAAGATGGTGTGGTCCTTGTCGATCCCTGGATGAAACCGGACATGCAGACAAATACCCTTGACACGGAACCTAACAGACGCATAAGCGGCAGCATGAAACACTAGCGACAACACTATTTAATGCACGTTGAATATTAAGGGGGACGGTGCGGATACATGATTTTAAGTGCTAAGAACACTACCTCTACTTTGAGAATTTTTATGTTTTTTTTTTTAAAAAGATTTTGTTCGATTTTGAAATTTGGGTCTGGAAATCGAAGTTTCAAAGCATATGTGCGAAAACACAGACACAGAAGCGAGCAAATTGAAAGGGGGGAACCCCCGTATAATAATAACAATAATAATGAAATAAAAGCAGTAAGAGATCCATGATCCTAAATCCACAAACAAAGACTCTAAAAATCTTCATCCATCTTAAACACATGATTCCCACCATTCCCATTAATACTAGACATAACTGAGGCCTTTTGATACTCTCCTACTCTTTTCTCGAAGAAATTAGTCTTCCCTTGCAAAGATATCAACTCCATCCAATCGAATGGATTGGCCACATTGTACACCTTCCCGCACCCAAGCGCACCCAACATCCTATCAGCTACGAACTCAATATACTGACTCATTAACTCCCCGTTCATCCCTACCAACGCGCATGGCAGCGCGTCCACCACAAACTCCCTCTCAATATCCACAGCATCCTTCACTATCCCTCTCACTTGCTCCTCACTCAGCTTCTTCCTCAGCAAGCTGTAGAGCAGGCACGCGAAATCACAATGAAGCCCTTCATCTCGCGAGATCAACTCGTTCGAAAAGGTTAGCCCCGGCATCAACCCACGCTTTTTTAACCAAAATATCGCACAAAAACTCCCCGAGAAAAATATCCCTTCCACGCAAGCAAAAGCAACTAGCCTTTCCGCGAAACTCTCGCTCCCGTCAATCCACCGCAAGGCCCACCGTGCCTTCTTAGCCACGCACGGCACCGTTTCGATAGCATGAAACAGGCGATTCTTCTCCTCAGAATCCTTGATATAAGTCTCCAACAGAAGACTGTACATCTCGGAGTGGATATTCTCAATCGCGATCTGGAATCCGTAAAAAGCACGCGCCTCCGAGACTTGGACCTCTTTCATGAAACGCCCGGCGAGATTTTCGAGGACAATCCCATCAGAGGCGGCGAAGAAGGCAAGGACATGAGAGATGAAGTGCTTCTCGTCGGGAGTCAGGTTTTCCCAGTGGCGGATATCCGACGAGAGATCGACCTCCTCAGCAGTCCAAAAGGAGGCCTCAGCTTTCTTGTACATCTCCCAGATTGATGGGTACTGAATGGGGAACATACAGAACCGGTCTGGGTTTTCAGCCAGGAGGGGTTCTTCTGGGATTGCAGGCATTTTTCTGAAGAGTTTTTTTCGATTAAGAAAACTAGGGACTGGTTTCTTCTTCTTTTTCCTGGCGGTAAGTAGAGCGGGCTGTGGGGTGTTGATTTTATAGTGAAAAGGGGAGAGAAAGAGAGGGAGGGATTTGAAATTTTGAGAGGAGCGGCGCGGATTTTAAATTTTAGGTGTCTGGTATTCGAAAAAATTTAGGGTTTGAATATTGTGCAAGACCCGGAAATGAATGGAGGATCGAATGGTATTTTGATATGTTGATGTAATATTTCTAGGTTGTCTGGGGGTTTATCAAGTCCTGATATCGATGGAGGGGAGATTTTTATTATTATTATTATCATTATTATTGGTGCAAAACTATTATTATTATTATTATTATTATTGGTGCAAAAATTAAATGAAAATAGAGATTAAATTAAATATTTGTTTGGAAGAGAGCCTTGGGAGGGAAGTTTGTTGTGGCACTCGAAGATTTTTTGACCTTGTAATTGGCGGGGGATTTTATTGGCGCGGTATTTTCGAGGTTTGAAAAGAGCACACAGTTTAAATTCAGCAAAGCGTAACTATGATGGTTTGGTGTCGCATGCCTGTGCGTGCCAAGAAGGATGACCCCACACGCGCTCCTGCCATTTTTAAGTGCATCACATGTGATTAAGTGCATTAACAATTTTCACTTGCAATTTTATGAATTCTTTTTTTGAAAAGAGATATAGTTTATTAGAGATTGTGAAAAAAAAAATGTAAAATAATTATTATTTTTTAAATATTAATTTTTTATACAAGAATAATAATTATTTTAAAATTCATATCTCATCCAAATTAATTAATATATATAAGTCAATCTAAAGTTTATAAAAATTTAATAGTCAAAAAATGAAATCCAAGATCTAATGATCAAGAAATAAATAGATAAATTGATGTATTAAGAGAGGGAAATAGACGAGAAAAATTAGATTATTAAGGACACTCCAGGCTCTATTTTCAATCAACTAAAAAAAATTTGACGAAATGATTTTAATCATGTCTTTAAATATGCTTTGTAACCAATCAATTTGTTACACATAACACTAATTTATTTGTGTAAAACACATGTATTATTAATAAAGGCTTTCTTTATCTTTAATATTTGATTAATGAATCTAAAATAAAGATAAAGTTTGTGAAATAAAAATGTTTTGCATAGAAAACTATAAAGTTATTATAGTTCTAAGATTCATACTGCATCAAAACAATGTTTCTAAATATTCCTGATCAAAGTTCTATTAAGACTGGATATTAATCAAAGCTACTGAAACTATTGCATATTATGTTACTTTTTTATGAAAGAAAGTAATTACTCTAATAAATTGAGATACGAGAAGTATATAGAATTAATATGGAGGTGCTTATTAGATAATACATATATTGAATTGACCTGTATAAGAATTCTATATGAAGATATCATATATGTCTATGGAAAGATTCACATGATAGTTGTAACTAATCCTTGCACTTTATATTATTAAGTTGTCTTATATAATGAGTGATATGCTTTATTCTTGACCACATATTTTCTTGATCAAGGGTTACAAACAAGAAAATATTATGTATGGTATAAGCTATATAAAAATATTTAAGTAATAAAGAGAGAATTTATTACCCTGAGTGAATTAGAAAAAATATTCTATTTTATCTCAAATAGTATTAAATGTGAAGTTCTTCGTCAAAATGAAATGAGATTTGAAAAAGAATTTTAAATCTTATTCAAATAATCAATGATAATGGTGTTAAGAACTACAATAATTTAACAAAATAGATATACTTCATGCTATAATATCTAAATCATAAAATTCTTGATAAAAGAATAATAATTACAGTAAAAAAATATTCACTAAAAGGTTAAGTCAAACTATTTATAACTTTCCTAATATTTAGAGGATCATAACATATTATTAGACATTGTACTTAATCTTCAAATATAAATCAAGCAACTATTAAATTGATAATAAATTAAATTGATTAATTTATTTAATCCAATGTTATTTAGGTTTTGATTTATATTTGAGTCAATTTATCAAGGAACCTAATGAATTACAAATATAATAACCATTGGTCAGAAATTAAAATGAGATAATTAATCAAGTATGAGTTGATTATAAATTAATTTTAAAAATTAAAAACTAGAATATAATTAATATAAAAAACTAAAAAATTAAAAACTAGAATGTAATTAATATAAAAAACTACAATTCTTAAGATAATTACTAATAGTTATATAAGTTGTTTAGGACAAATTGAATTGTGACTTGTATATTTTTTGTTGAAACTTCATACAAAAGGCCAATTAAGTGTTCTTACGGGCCATAATCCATACTAACAGTCAAAGTCCATCCTAACAGCCCAAGTCTATAAGAGAAATATATAAAGCTTATGTCAAGCCATAAAGAAACCAATCTACCCAGAAATGAACATGGACCAATGGAGAAATTTTAAGAAACTAAGTAGCTTGGAAGTTGATGTTTAAAGTACAAAGAACAAACTTAACAAAGAAAGAATAAGATATAAAATCAATTTTATATTATATGGAAAAGATCATGCTATTCAATTTACATGGAATTGGCTTAAGAAAACAAATGAAATCAAGATAATATTAGTGAAGATATAAACTAGCTTCCATACAATTATTGAGAAAACTTGTTTGGTAAGCTAAACTAAAAGATTTAAGATTAGCAAAGCAAGAATCACAGAGGTTAACAAAATCTAGAAAATGATGTATATAATGTATTTCATATGTTTGTAAGAAGATGATTATGATAAAAAAAAAGAAAGAAATGTATTTCATATGTTTGTAAGAAGATGAGTATGATAAAAAAAAAAAGAAGAATAAGAATAAGATATAAGAAAGAATCAATAACTATTGTTGTTAGTAAAAAGATTTGAGTAAAGAATCAATCATGGAGGTTAAACTTGTAAGATTGTAATAACCTAAGATTTGTAATATCAAACACATAAATTCAACAAGTAGTGAAAATCTTATGGTCATCCTTGAGGACTAGACTACCTATAATTTATAGGGGGAACCATGATAAAATATTCTGTGTAATTTTTGCTCTTTTCCTTTTTCTTTTTGCTAAATATATATTTTATACCTATGATTGATTTCTAGAACAAACATCACAGTTCCTATAATGTTATATTGAATAAGATAACTTAAAATTATTTTGAAAAATTTTCTCAGTATCAATAATTTTGCCTTCTTTTTGATTGATTTTATTGCCTGTATTTTGCATCACAGGCATGATGCTCTTATTTTAGATATAACAAACATGGGTTTGATCTATAACAACTTTAGGTAATGGACTTTTTGAAGGATAATCCATAGACATGTTATCTTTATCTGATGGGATGAACTACAACTACTAGAGAGATTGGATGAGAATATTCATATAGTCAATTGATTATAAGTTATAGAGAATGGTTATGAATGGTCTACACATTCCTATTTTAATAGTAGAAAGTAAAATATTAGTTAGATTTGAAGATAATTGGGATGATAAAGATTTGAAAATGGTACATTTGAATACTTAAGCTATAAGTTTATTCTATAATGTTTTAAATGTAAATGAGTATAATAGAATTAGTTGATGTGAAATTGCAAAACTGTATAAACTTGAAATAACACATGAAAGAGCTTCACAAGTAAAAGATTCAAAGATAAATAGACTTATGTATTAATTTGAAATATCTAAAATACAAGAACATGAGAACATTGATGAAATGATGATATGATTCACACACATTATAAGTCCACTAAAATACATAGGAAAAGCTTTTTCTAATGTCGAGATAGTAATAAAAGTACTTAGGTGTTTACTAAAACTATAAAAGCTAAAAATAACCAAAATATAATGAAACTTGATGAAATATATTAGTTCTTAACCACCTATGAAATGATATTTCAATGTAATGATCAAGAAATAGCAAGGATAAAAAAATGAGTAACCCGTCGCCCGACGTCGTGTAGCGACAAATGTAATGATCAAGAAATAACAAGGATAAAGAAATGAGTAGCACTTAAAAGTAATCACAAGTCCAATTTTAAAAATGAAAGTGATAGTAAAGATGAAGACATAGATTTACTCATACAAAAAATTCAAAAATTTCTCAAGAGAAAAATAGGTTTGGTAAGAAAACACTTGGTAAGGATCTTAATAAAGACTCCATTACTATTTTAATTATAATAAAGTAAGACATTATACTTTTGAGTATTTAAGTGCCAGAAAAGGCAAACATCAAACTTAATAAAATTCTTCAAGAAGACAAGAAAAAAAATCATGTGGTAGAAGTATAGAGAAATGATGATGATTCTGATTAAGGAAAAAAAGATTTTTGGAGAAAAAGAAAACAAATGTCTTATATATAAAAACAACCATGAAGAAGAAAAGAATGAGATAATTGATGAAATATATAATTTGTATATTGGTTTACACAATGAATTTAAAAAATGTTTAAAGAAAAATATTATGATTAGTAAACAAATCACTTTTTTAGATCTGGAACTAAAATTGTTAAAGAAAGAAAATGAAATTTTGGTTAAACAAACTAACAAGTTAAGAACTAAAAATGATTCCATCTTAAATGAAAATATAACTTAAAAAGAAAAACTTGTAGTTCTACAAAAAAAAAAGAAGAGAAGTTAGCACTGGATTTAATACAAATACATAATTATACAATGTCCGAAAAAAAGCTTGTAGAACTTAAAAAAATATACTGACTTGAAGTCTAAAATCAATGATCTTGAAACAATTGTATTTAAATTTATTGAAGGAAGAAACAAGTTAAAAAACCTATTTGGATATAAAAAACAAACACTTGGCTAAAATAGGTTGGGATATGATTCATATAAACAACTTCAGATAAAACCTAGTTTCATTAAAAATATTAGTTTTGGCAAACATGAAATCTCCTATCGTTTTTGCAACTAACAAGGACAATACATGTAAAATTGCCTATTTAAAAACTATAGATATTATAATAATTTGCTCAAACCAATCAAGTTTCATGGGTTATGAAAGAAAATATATTTAATGTTTTGTGTAACCTAATTGGTCTTAAAAGAGTTTGGATATTAAAATCCACTAATTGAATATACGTGTTTGTAAATTTATTTAAAGATGGAAAAGAAGAATATCTAGTACTTAGATAATGGTTGGTCTAGGTATATGATTAGGGATAAAAACAAGTTCATTCTTTGAAAAGAAAATCTAGTTTAGTAACCTTT